TCAATGCTTAGCGAATTATTTGATTCGGGGAATAACTCTCGATCAAACATGGCAACGAGTCGGGTTTGATTGGGCTTTCTCGGAATATTTTGCACTCTCGTGTAGCGAGCTGTTGTGGTTTTGCAACGGTGAGATGCATGCTCTCGCAGCTCATTCGATACTGTAGAGCAGCAGTTTGAACCATACAGACAGCACAGAGTAAGGTTGTCATGATGCCAATTGGATAAAGAAGGGCCATTCCTTCCTTCGCCTGAGCCGTACGCTGTCGTATACGAAACGACGTCGATCAACCTGCGGAAATTGCTAATAAAGAGTAGATAGAGCAGGATGATGTCGACTCAGTACTACGTACTATCATTCCGTACTACGCAGACAGATACGTAGCAGCGTGACAAATTCCGGGTGTCAATCGTTGCCCCATTTAGTGAGTCCTGCGTGTTTCCTCAAAAGAGCAGGTAACTCTGCTCACGAGGTCCACTAAACCCCATCCGGATAAGACGCAAAAGCTCCAGCAAAGGAGAATGCGAGCCTCGTCTGTTTAAACTCGAGATATCCTAAAGAAAATCCAAATAACGCCGATAGCAGGTCACTCTAAGATTATTGCTTTCTTACTGGCTATCATTGTTGCCTCTCAGGCATAATTTCAGAATTGATGCCATAAGTCACGAGTCATAAGCAAACCTGCGCTCGATAGTTCAAGCTCGACTCCCGTCAGTAAACGATCGAATCTTGCGAGTTGCGCATGTCCCGACAGTTCATGAAGATCTTACGCGACGTATTATTACTCGTCACAGACGAATGGATCTTAGTGGTTGGTGGCTGAAGCTATTGACGTTTCTGAGCGCCTAACTCTTTAGGCTAACGAGCCGATCGTGCTGGCGCCTCCCGCTCCGGCATGCATGAACTCCTTACGGAGTACATTTGCTGAGAGCCTGAGACTGACTCCGCGTCTCATCACTGGACGCTTGGTCCTCCAACCACAGCCAAATTGAAAGCCTGAAAGCATCGTGTCAGTGTATCACACAACGTATCCATCACACTGTGAGCCTGGGACTGATGACCATGACCGTCCGGACCCCTTACTGCTGGCACCTCGTGCGGCACGTTGCACAATTGGAGTTCATGGTCCGTCACCAGCCCCTTTCGTGCTGGGTCTCGGCTCCGACTGATATGATCGACCGTTCTAGCTGAGCATTTAGCCTCATGTTATGTACGAAAGTGTTGGCGTACAACCTCATTGGCATGTCCCCTCGTCGTCCGCTTGTCTCTGCTAATTGATTCCATACGCGCAAGGATGTCACAAAGCGCGACAAACGAAGAATCTGATAGCAAGCAAAGAAGTTACCTGACACCCTACGAACTGACAACCACAGTTAAAGCCTCGAGAATTTCTCCGACGTCGCTCCGCCCGAGTATCTGCTACCTTAGCTTTCGAGTTTGGACCCTCTTTCAGATAATGAACTCGGCACCAACCGGAGTGGATAATCCCCAAAGATCCAACTGATGATTTTTAAATGCATATACTCCGTACTCCGTTTTTTTTATGCCGCCGAGTCGTTCGATAAATCAACAGCCCCGAAATTCCTAATTTTTACCGCACGACCATGCTCAGTGGGTTCAGCGTCAACCTTACCGAAGAGTTGGAGAAAGTACTGACTCGAACGAACAGTTCTTATCGGACATAATCAGGCAATAATGGACAATCTTCACGCATATCATTTGGACCCAAGACGACTGGAATGAAAATACCCCATCGAACCCTTGTCAATTTGGCCGTCTAGAACGTTGCGGCTGCAGCTGCAGCTTGATACCAAGTACTCCGTACTCCGTACGTAGCATTCGTATCCCAACTACTCCGTCTACGATCAACAAGTATCCTATGTACCAGGGACCATCGTCCCATGCTGACCAACCTTGAGCCGTAGAGGTTACGCGCTTTTGGCTCTCAGCGGGTTGGCTTGCTTCTTAGAAATAAGAGCCGTATTAGGCTGGTGATCCTGATTCATGAGAGAGCCGGTGCTACTCTTACGCCGGAAAATGACGGTCGATCCAATAGCTCTGAGGGGCCACCTATGAAAACAGACGAACCAATTTGTGCACACTGCATTATGCACTCTGCAGGTGCTGTGTGTGACTTCAGTTCTCTTCTGATTGGACTCCGCAGTCCACGCTGTGATGCGAAGAGCACAAGTTAGATACTCCATGAGCTTTGTCAATGGAAACGAGAGCGCGCATTCTTCTAACTCATCGATCGAAAAGCAGGACCCGACTGAGCTTAGAGCGCTGAAGATGAAGCACCAAGAAGTATCGAACATCTTCATACGAGTTATGTACTTTGTGATGATTTGTTATGACAGTGGGTCTTGCTCTCAACCCGCTGGGACACAACCATTACGGAGAATTGTAGCTTTTGTTCATTCGCTGGAAAGCTTGAACTGGCGTCTGGCGTCAAGTCTTTTGACCGTACGATAAACCTCATTGGCTACCACAGCTACTCCTCGGAACTGCCTTTACCCAAGATTCATTAATTCCATGAGCGCCGAGTGTGTAAGCTCTGTCTGGTCAAGTGTCAAGTTGTCAAGTCATCATGGTGTCCCGTGCCCTCGGAGCCACACAAGTTCCACGACGATCTGCATTCCGGGGCTGGGGCTTGAGCAAGATTCCACCAGTATTCATTCCTGAAGATCTCCATATCATGACGGAGAAAGAGATTGCTTTCCATTCAAGGCAGATAATTAGTAAAAGAAAGCGGTTCACCATTGTCAGTGAAAATAACAAAGACGAAGGACGAGAAAAAGGAAAGGTCGAAAACAGAAAACCCTAAGAGGAGAAGAGAAGTGAAGTCATCATCATTCGGACTGATGATCATTTAAGAAAATAAGCAGCTTATTGTGAGTTACTGATCCTCACCATTATTATTATGGTCTAAGACTCCAAGGTAATCCATACTCCGCCCCAGCGACTCGAGCTGGAGAAAATAAGATGCAGGCGCCGTGCTATTGGTCAGAAAACAGGATTCGGTGATTTCTTTTTTGGGCTATTAAGGAAAACAGCCGGTGCTGTGTATCCTTCTCAACTTACTATCGTACATGTCTCATGTGTGGAGGGTACGCAGACAACCAGCTCTGTGCTGATTCTGCGGAAGTGCTGCTACCATTGGACCGACAAGCTAAAAATCCTGGCGACTCTCCAGAAACCTTCTTGCGAGTCGCTCCCTCACTTTTCTCTGTCCCAATCCCCCAAATCCCAATTCGGGTTTTAGCGCATGTCAAACTGGGTCGGAATGAGCTAAAGAATAATGACAAATGCACAGCTCTCTCCCTGCCGAGCGGACTATTGGCAAGAAGCTGCAGGCGGGCGGGCGCGGACGTCGATCCGTCGCTGGCTTCCTTTCACCTTGCGTCCAGTTCCCTGATTCGGCAACATCCCATGATTCCACTTCCATCAAAAGCAAAAGGGGAAGAGGGAAAAAGAGAAAAAAGAAAAAAAAGGGGAAAAAAGGAAAATGAAAGCAGAGCTGAATTTCTTGCCCCACTCCACAGGAGCAGCTGTTCCCGAGCTGGTCTGCCCTGCTAGGCTGCTTCCTACCTAGATACTGCATGCTATGGAGCATCGACATCGACCCAAGAGGTTGTTTAGCCTTTTTGGGATTGTGTCACTGGCAGTGGCACCCTTATTCCCTATCCAGGCCCATCTGAAGGAGTCCGTTGTTGAAGAGGAAACAAGGGAAATGAGAAAATGATTGTCGGAATCATTCAAGAAACCAAAAAGGAAAAAAAAGAAAGAACCAAATGCCACAGATGCAAAGGGACTACTAGCAACAATGTGACTGCCGGTCTGTTCGAGGCTCATCACTGAAGATTGAGGCCTTATTACTGATTGGCCTTGACTGGGGGAACCCCCTCCCTCCCCGGAGGATTGGAACCTGACTATCAGTTTACTATTTGTCCCTCCAATTCTCCCATTCCTAGTGAGCAGTGAACCCTTCCGTCGTCCGGACTCAGGAGCGGCAAAGGAAGACTTCCCCCCTCCTCCATTTTGACTCCATTGAGATCTACCGTGATGGAGATCAAAGCTATCAGCTGCTAGTCGCTGTTGCACTGGCCACCACTATAACCCACTCTTTCCTCACGTCGCATGGCGCATCAGAGCTTTTCCCGTTTTAAGGTAGAAGCCTAATCTAACCTGCGAGAAAAAGAAAAGACTAGATCGTTGAGACTCTATCAATCTGTCTATCACTATTGTCTCCTCGCTCGAAGCAAGTCTTCCACTTGACGGTTGATGAACTGTATGCCACTTCTGGCCCCAGAAGAAGGGGAAAAAAAGAAACCGATATCCAGGCCTCTGACTCTCTATTTGTTCTTTTCACTCCATCAGCTATTCAAGTTAATTGGCAGAACCAAGTGGTGCGTCTCATTGCCCCGTATAGTTCACCGTTTTTCCCTTTTTCCCCCTTTCAGGTAGTGGACTGTCTCCAAGTTCACCCAAAAGCCATAACGTCTGGGGCCCAATTTTCAGCATGCATCGTGACCCGGAGGTAAGGCATATTTGCTTTCCCTTTTTGCGCCGTTTTCTTTCTTATTTCCTTCTTTCGATTGAAATGTCCCGTTCTATACTCCTGCCTAGCCCCATTGATCGCCCTACCCATACTGCAATAAATCAACCCTACATGAGAACCACCGAATCTATGGAGACTGCTGTCATGTTGTGGGCATAATTCAATGATCGACACACCCTAGTTTATGACTTGTCCAATCGCGGATATTGTACTGACTGATTATAAGCTCCTCCGGTCCTTGGAATTGTAAGCGTGAGAATCTCAGATGACGACCGGCGATTGAGAAGAATTATTGCGATTGGATAGACACTGCAACTCCCGAAGGCCTTTCTCCATGCCAGATATGCTGCCTATTTCAACATCGATCTAGCTTGTTTTCTGTTCCTTTGAAACCCTTCCAGTCGTAGTTCCTTTACAGCAACAGGGACCCTCAACCTACCAAATGCAATCACTCGTCCTTCCCCCTACAGCCCTCACCAGCACACAATTTGGACATCCAAGGTTCAGTTCAGCCTCCGAACGGCTTGCTCTTAATTACACGCTACCGACAAATGCTCGTCTGTGCAATCCTCGGGATCTTCCACCCGTTCACCCTATGTCCAGTTCGGTCCCGGCAGAAGACCCGCTGGAGACTTCTCGACACGTCAGACCGCCGCCTCATACAACAGGACTGCCAACAGTTACGGCTGTGCCAGTGACCGCGCCCGCAGTGACAACGGCGCCTGTCTCAGAGACGGCTCTGGCGTCGGGATCTTCAGGCGCAACGACAGGCCATACTTCAGCATTCCAACAATATGTGGCCCAGACCACTAGAGAAGAGATACGACCGCCATTCATCTTCAATGAAAGCGTCCCTGGTTCCCAAGCACCGCTGGGGACCACCGAACAACGAGCAGCACACGAGCCCTCGACGACCTTTCCATCCTCAACTTTCGGAATCTCACCGACTGGCACAGCTACTAGAGCACTGCTGCCAAAAGGGACGAGGCGCACTAAAGCTCACGTTGCATCGGCGTGTGTTAACTGCAAGAAAAAGCATCTAGGGTGCGACCCTGCCCGGCCTTGTCGAAGGTGCCTCTTGTCGGGAAAGGAGGTAAGCCAATTCTATTCTAGTCCACCTGATACCGAGTTCGTTGCTAAGATGGATACCGGTAAAAAAAAAAGGCAACTTGTGTTGATGTTACGCATAAGAAAAGAGGAAGACCGCCACTGAAGGCTGAGGATGCGTCTCTCAGGACGTACACATCACAGGCAGAGAATGCGGGGACATCTGGAGAGCAGCAGCCCCCTCTAGCCAGACGCACTCATACGCATAGGTCCACCGGCTCCCGCGAAATTCGACCTGTGACAGACCTTCAGATGCCTGGTACTCAACACGGGACAGTTGGGTTTAGGGCTCCGCCAGGTCACCCTCACAGGTGGTCGACTTCCGTATTCCCCCAGGTTGTGGATCCCTCAATATCGATGCAGGCAAACCTTGGACATAGGCGATTTTCTTCTTCTGGTTCCATACCACAGATGACAGCCGCGACACAGTCGGGTTTTATGCCCCTCACAAGTGGTTTCAGTCCTGCGCTCAATCTCGGTCGCGCGCCAATGGGCGCAGGAAGGGCTCTTTCTTCATATTCTCACCAGGGACTACCTCCTACCACTTCTCCACCGCAATATCAGCAACCATTCGGTGTGCCCATGCCGCCATACACAGTGAGTCCGAGAATGGTGAGCCGGTTGCCGCCGGGCGACGCTCGCGAAGCATACCCCGAATCTCCAGTCCGATTGCCCCCATTTTCCCTCCAGCGATGACGCACTCTCGTCCCGCACCTCAGGCACATCGGTTGAGCGATCCTTACCCAGCAGTGTGGTCGCCTCGGCTCCGTGAGGAGCTGATGCAGTCACAACCACAACAGCAGACTGGCGGCTCGTCGCCGCACAGTTTTATGGAGCCAATATCTCCTGCAGCGCAAACGCGTCACGCAGCGCTCGAACACGGCCACGGAGAAGTAGGGTCGCAACAATCCAATTCAATTGTACAAGGAGCACAAACTCTTTCAGTGCAGTCGTCTCCAGCTCGTCCTCGGGATGAACAACCCGCTGGGGGACCCGAAACAGGCGAATCCAGGCCCGCGAAGAGGCGAAAGATGGCCTTGGATGATATGGTGAACGACTGATCGTCTCCTATAGAATAGGACTTAATATGGGGTCCAGATTGGCCTCTGTTTCTTCGGTTTTGGCCGCTTGGAAGTCCCGGGGACCTCCTCAAGACATCTATTCTTGTAGCAGGTCCTACGAACTAAAAAAAAAAAAAGACCCTGATGCTTACATTTCCTTTGTCCGTGTACCTCGACCTCCCATCTTAATTCACTGTACGATTTGAACACCGCTCATCGCCGCCTTGCGCAACTCACACCACCCGCCGACTCACTATTTCCTTTGTTTTCGATATCCCTGGTGTTTTCATGCGCTCCAGCAACCCTGGTGGTGGCATCTTTATATCTACTAGGATTCTCAGCCGTGCCTACACGATACACTGGCCGCTCCATATTCCACGATCGTCTTCGTCTTCGTCTTCCATTCTTTCCGTTTCATCAAGGTCAAGGTTCATCTCTGGCGTTTTGTCTCCTTTGTATTCTCGGAGTTCTCACGGGGTCACGCCATTCGCATTACTGTATTCGATCATCCACACGGCTGCATAATGCATAGGAGGGGAGCGGGACATATAGATAATTTTCGTTTTCGTTTTTCTCTTTTACTGGTTTCTGGTTCCCTTTGTCAGCATTCTATATGTCTCATAGACTATACATACAATAGACTGGCTCTGATATCCTGCTGGAAGGATGGCCTAATATCTAGTGCTTGTGAACTATATGGCTGTGGATACTCGGCAGGTGAATAGAGATTTGATGTGAAGCTTGTTTTACACTGTACTCTAGTATTTCGATCAATACTACGGAGATGAGTCGTGTATGTCCCGCATATCGATCCATTCTTGACTAGCGACAAAGTAGGCAGAGTCATGAGTCCATGTCGTGTCGTGTCGTGTCTCATTCGGTTCAAGTCACGTATATACACATCATCTATTACAAATATAAACAGGAACAACAATGGACATGGAACAAAAAAACACAATACTATAAGAACAGCCACATCCCGACTCGCTTGAGCTTCCCAAGCACGCCCTTTTCACTCTGCAACTGTTTGATATGCAGAGTCCTCCCAACCCGGGACGGGCTATCACCATCACCATTGCTTCCATCATGCTCCGCATTCAGATCATACCGATCCGTAACCAAGTCCATCTCGTCCAGATGCACGAACCTAGTCCGCTTGACCAGCTTCCAGACTAAAAACATAACAACCATAACCGGGATCTCAATGTAGAAAGAGACAAAATCGACGGCCTGGAAGGACGGGCTGAAGCAGGACCAGCCCTGCACGAGGATCAGGACGATGTTCAGGCCGACGGCGATGATGGGGCCGACGGGGTAGGTCCAGTTCTGGAAGGGGAGGAGGTGTTCGAGGTTTTGGCGGCGGATGGCGGCGCGGAACCGCAGGGAGGCGATGCCGATGCAGACCCAGGAGATTTGGTTGGAGACGCCGACGATGCTTGGTTGTATTGTTAGGGCTGTTGCTTGTTTTGAATAGGTGTGTGTGAAGGGGGGGGGGGGTTGTTTAGTGGCTTACTTTTGCAACCATGTCCAGAGCTGGCCTGCTCCGATGTAGCTGGCTCCGAAGCATAGGCCGCTGATGAGGGACGTGGCTAGCACGGCGACCCAGGGGACCTGGAAGCGATTAAGGTGGCCGAAGAAGCGGGGGCGTGGCCGTCTACCGCGAGGGTGTAGAGGAGCCGGGACCCGGCGAAGAGGGCGTGGTTTGCGGCGGAGATGACGCTGGTCATTAGCACGGCGTTGATGAAGCTGCCTGCGATGGCGCTGCCGGCTTCCATGAAGACAATGGTGAATGGGCTGGTGGCAGTGGTTTTCTTCGACAGGTTGGGGTAGTTGTAGGGCACGTTGAGACCAATGAGAATGATGGAGATGATGTAGAAGAGGAGGATGCGCCAGAAGACATTGCGGACAACTCGGGGCAGATTTTTGGCTGGGTCTTTGGTTTCTCCCGCTGTGATGGCGATGGATTCCGTGCCGCCACTGAATGGAGTCAGCTCTGTTCTGCCTTCGTTATGTTAGATCATAGGACATACTAAGCAAACGATGCCGTGACGAAGACGGAGGCAAATCCACCGATTCCACCCACGAAGGGGGCATCGCCGACATAGAAGTACTTGTCACCGATGTATTTGTGCTCCTTATTGGCCCCGCAGTTGACAGCAATCCCGAGAATGATGAAGATCTGAAAGAGTTAGTCTCAACCTGCAAATCTAACAAAAGTGGCGCGGATGCGAGCTTACTATAATCGTGATGACCTTCAGTAAGCTGAGCCAGTATTCAATCTGCGGAGAGTTAGCAAACTCCTGTTAAAAGCGCACCATGACCATTACCTCTCCGTAGACTCTCACAGACAAAACATTGAATAAAATAACAACAATCAGAAAGATCAAACTGATCGCCCAGCCTGGGAAGTTATCCGTCCAATACTGCAGCAATAGTTGCAGTGCAATGACATCCGCCGCCGTCGAGACAGCATCATTAAACCAGTAATTCCAAGTTAGAGCGAACCCAAGAGCATCGTCAACAAAGCGACTGCAGCAGTGTCAGCGATACTTCTTACCCTATCCGTGAATGAACTACTCACCCTGCAAAAGTACAGAACGAACCCGCAATGGGAATAAACGCCGCCATCTCCCCCAGACTTAACATCGTGACAAACACAATCCCACCGCATATGGCATACGAAATAAGCATCGACGCCGGCCCACCCGTCGCGAGAGCTTTTCCCGTTCCCAAAAACAGGCCCGTCCCGATTGTGCCGCCAATGGCGATCATCTGCACCTGTCGGGCGGAGAGCTTACGGGCGAGCTTGTCGGCTTTGACATGTTGGTTGAATTCGAAAGGCTCAACGCCTGCAGCCTTGTCGCTCAGAGGCTCCTGGGGAGCATGAGGAGGATATTTTTCGATATCATGAGCCATCATCTTGACTTCTATTGTGCAGAGAGAAGACAGATCTGCGAAGAAGCGCCTCAACCCCTCACCAGACCACTGCCAAGCTCAAGGACCTCGCTTGGGGATCTTCCACCACCAGCAGGCACAAAATTTGGCCAAGATTCCTTTTGGCTAGCAGCCATGTTAGTATGCTGTCGATGAAACTGCGCTCGAAAGACTCCAACTCACCTCTGGACTGCTGGTTCTATACTTCACTTCCCAACTCGGCAATAAGCACGTGACTCGACCGGACTTTCCAACTTTCAACTCCTTCAGGATCAACTTAAAAAGACGGACGAACGCCCATCACAACAGCAGATGAGTAGGAGTTCGTTCGAAGACAGACGATCCGCTTCGCAAAAACTCTTCCCCTCAAGCTGATTATGCCATTTGCAACCATCTTGACGCAAAACCAAACCCCTGTCTTGACGTTACATTCGAGAGGGTTTAGCGGCGATTGCGTGATCGATAAAAATTACGTACTAAGATGGCTCGGAAGGGTCTGAATCTCTTCATCTTCGATTGATCCAGAAGGGCCATCCGCACATGGCTGTGGACGGAAGAAGAGCAGGAGGATTGGCGATTGGTTCGACCAGACGGAATTGCAGACCATTGGGCTCCACGGTCGACGCCACGCTTTGACTGGAAAGCTTCATTATTTGTCTTGGCAGTAGGGTATTAAGAATATGCCCCGAGTTGGTAGCGGAATCTGGGAGATAAAGATAGCTGTTTGTATAATAATGCTCATTCACAGTATTGTCTATGCTATCACTATATACAAATCTTGATATAACACCCCTTGAACCAAAGAATGCTTTTATTACTCCGCTAGAGAAAAGTGCAATAAGAGAAAAAGGGAGAATGTATCCGTAAATCGTCGATACAGGACCTCTAACCAAGCAAGCCAGTGGCGAGAGATTCCAGATCCTCCAGGGTTTGAATTTGAGGAGGAGCGTTGGCTGCTTTGTCGCTGGATTTCTTGCTCTTCTTGTACCAAGGCTCTGCTTCCTCTCTGTCGTTGGCTTCGGTGAACTTGACCTTTGGCTTTTTGCTTGGACGTGGTGCTTCGTCCTCGGAGGCGGAGAATCCTCCGTCGACGTCTTGGTCCCCGTCGTAGGGAGGCAGTTGTACCAGTCTCTCTTCTTCCTCCGCTTCGGCAAGCAGCTCGCGCTCGCGCGCCTTGCGTTTCTCCTTCTTCTCGCGCCGCTTCTGTTTGGCGATCTCCTTGTCCTCCATGTCTGCCATACGTGTGCGCTCCGCCTCCTCTGCCAAGAACTTGGCCTGTTGATCCTTGGCGTCGCCGCGGGCCTTGAATTGCTCTTCGTCTTCCAGCTCGTACAACTCGTGCGGGTTTCCTTCGTCGTCGTAGACCAGTTTGGTTCCCTTGCCCTTGAATTTGAGTAACTTCTTCTTCGACTTGAGAAGCTTCTCGCGACGCTTGGAATCGATGATCAGGGGTGTACTGCCGTCAATGTGCACCACCTTGACGTCCTTCTTCTTGTCGCCCTTCTCACCCTCATCGTCCTTATCGTCCTTATCGTCCTTATCGCCCTCATCGTCCTCATCGCTTGAAGATCCCAGGTCCTTATCACCAGCGTCGAACCGGCGTTTGACGGACAGGAAGTCATCATCTTCGTCCGCATCAGCCCCGGCACCGGCATTGGGTGCAACCATTGTGCCGTCGTCATTGATGAGTTTTGAGTAATGCTCCGCCAGCACGTCTTGGTTCCGCCGCTCAAACATCCGGTCATATTTGGTCCGTACCTGTGGTTCCTCCTTCTTCTTGCTCTTCTTCTCGCCGTCATCCTCGTCCGAGTCATCGTCGTCACTCAACAGGTGTGCTGCGGCTCGAGGTGCGTTCTTCCGTTGCTTCGTATCATCTCCCTTGATGAATTTGATCCGGGGTGCACCAGGCAGACCTAAGCTAGCCGCGAACTCATCCAGCTTCAGTTCCTTGAGTTTGAAAATCTCCTTGTCTTTCTGAATATAGACAGATTTGACATAAGAAATGAACGCCTTCTGCCCCAGATACTTGAGCTCAGGATCCTTGAAGCACATGTTCTGTAGCTGATCTTTGATACTCTGTTGTTTGTTCGCCTTAATGTTAATCTTCTCGATGGGTACTTTCTTCTGCTCCAGACGCTTCAGCATGCCTTCCTCCTCACTGGGATCCAAGAGTAAAACCGCACGACCGTCCCGCTCGTACCGCGCTGTACGCCCCACTCGGTGGATATACGTGTCCGCATCTTCCGGACAGTCAAGCTGGATGACCCAGTCGACCGCTGGGAAGTCCAGACCACGAGCAGCAACATCGGTAGAGAAGAGAACGCAATGCTTCGATTGAGAGAATCTGGTCACAATGTCCAATCGTCCACCCTGCTTCTGACGGCCGTGAAGATGCATCAACGGGATACCGGGCTGTAGATGTCGGAAGGATTCGTATACAAATCGTACTTGTTTCCCCGAAGACAAAAATACCATGGTCTTGGACTTGAGATTGCTTCGGATAAAACTCCACAGGATATCAAGCTTCTGCGGAAGTGGCGTAATCACGTAATGTTGCTGAAGTTTAGATGGCGTTGCTGAAGACGCCGACTCGTGGACAGCCACGTACTCGGGATCCTGGAGACTCAACCGGGCAAGGTCCGAAACCTTCTTCGTCTGAGTTGCACTGAATAGCAACGTCTGGCGCTCTTTAGGAAGGTGGCCGATAATGGCATCCACAGTCTGCTGGAAGCCCAGATCCAGGATACGGTCTGCTTCGTCGAGGACCAGCATCTGGAGATTATATGTGTCGAACAGTGCTGTCTGATCCAGATGCTGTAGCATACGACCAGGCGTACACACTAGAATGTTCATCCGTCCCAGTCTCTCCTGCTCCTCTTTCAAACTCTTCCCACCAATGACCAGACCGGCCGAAAATGTATGATAGCGACCGATTTTTCGGAGAACTTCGAAAATCTGAATGGCGAGCTCGCGGGTTGGTGATAAAATCAGAGCGCCCAACCCATCATGCTCAGCCCATTGCTTGCGGTAGAGATTTTCGAGCACGGGGACGAGAAAAGCCAGCGTCTTGCCGCTACCCGTCTTTGCGGCTCCCAGAACATCTCGACCCTTGAGCGCGTGGCTTATCGCACGGGCTTGGATATCCGTCAATGTTTTGAAGTGCGAGGACGCAAGTCCTGAAGCGGTCGGTTCAGATAGAGGCAGATCGGAGAAGGATTTGAAGGTCTCTTTGAGGTCAAGATCTTCAACCCGCTGGATGAGGGACGACAGTTCTTCCTGCCCGCGCTTGCGTTTCAACGTTTTTGACCGTGGAGGCTTTGCATGTTTGCCAGTGCGGGGACCAGCGGTAGCAGCCATGATAGTCTGCGTGAGCCCGTATCAAGGGTATTATCCTCGCTGATACAGATGGTAATGATCTTTGGTCGGCCATGAAGCAATCCGCCGTCGGGCGGTGAAGCAACTTTTTTTTCTCCGCTGCTGAGTCAGCCATAGATAAGATTGCCAGCTTATCACAGGCGCAACAGACTACAGGGACTGTTCCTGATCATACGGCAAAGACAGAGTAAGTGAAGCTTCTGGCATCTGTAAGATTGAATTTTACAATGTCCTCCGACGAGCAAGATGCTTTGGACGCACTGGAGAAGGAGGCGTCGGATTTCATCAAGGTATGTGAGAGCTGTCCTAGCTGCAATTGGCGTCAGACTGACATGTGCTACCATGTAGGATGCGGAAATCGATCGCATTCGAAAAGCTTTTCAATTAGATGCGTGAGTATTCTTCTTTACTCTGTTGTTTCTTGACATCTTCTATGCGTTTTCCGGCCTGCCAGCTGACAATTTCTCTATAAGATATGCGGTCCTAGATCTTCAGCCAGGTGTCCCCGAATCCGACATCAAATTACAGTATCGCAAAAAGTCCCTTCTCATTCACCCTGACAAGACAAAAAACCCTGCTGCCCCAGATGCCTTCGATCGGCTCAAGAAGGCCCAGACGACATTATTGGATGAGAAGGCCCGTGCGTATCTGGATGAATGTATCGCTGATGCGCGACGGCTCTTGATCCGGGAACATAAGTACACAGTAGACTCCCCGGAATTGCAGACGGAAGAATTCAAAAAAGAATGGCGTCAGAAGACCGTTGAGGTGTTGCTAGAAGAGGAAGCGCGCAGACGAAGACAGCTTAAGGCCAAGCTGCAGGAGGAAGGACGAGAGAAGCGCAAAGAGGAAGAAGAGTTGGAGGCAAGGAAACGGAAGCGAGAGCAGGAGCAAGCCTGGGAAAATACGCGAGATGAGCGGATCGGAAGCTGGCGAGAATTCCAAAAGGGGCAGAAGAAGGGGACCGATGGTGACAAGAAGAAGAAGAAAAAGATGAAAGTTCTGGGCTAATGATCTCGGATACAATGTCCGAATCGATCGGACTGTGGTCAATTGGCGTTTGGGATGCCTCTATTCTAGTTGTTCTCTCATCTCTCAATGTTTCAAGATATCTGATTATGTATCTTAGCGGTTCTTACTTAAAGATTCAAGATCTAACCCCATGAGGGCCATGACCGTTGCACCTCCTGAAGTTCTCTGCAAAATATGGGCCATTCCACCGGTCCATACTTGCCAATCCGCCGGATGCGATTCACGATATCAAGAGTCAGAACATCATAATCTGTAAGACTGGTTGATCTTAGTCGAGCAAGTGTCTTGAACTCTTGGTCAAACAGTCGGCCCGCAGTCGGTGATGTCGACGCGGGGCGCGGGGTTGGACTTCTCCGATGTGATTTCGGAAGCCAGAAGATTCTCCAGCCTGTCTCCACCATCGGGAATGCCTTTTGTGATCCGCTGTCATTTATTTGCCCTTTCGTATCAAATCTCCCATGAGGTACCTTAGTATACGGAAACGTCGGTATTCTCTGCAATTTGCCCTCGACAAGCTATATGATCCTATCTCTCGTCCGTGACACCACTGGCTTTGCCGATAAGTCAGAGATACAGCAACATCACATTTCCCCGTCCCCCGCTACAACGTCCACCAAGGCTGCAAGCGTTATAAGTACGCGGAGTATATTTCCCACGTCAAAACAGCCACAGAATCCAGCGATTGGGATGCAAGACATGAGAGAATCTGCCTCCGAGCCACCTCGAGCGCTCCCAACTTCAAATGGCGCCGCAGTGAACAGCCAACAGCCTCCACCACACTATCCCAACTCCCCGCCACGACAACAAAAGAAACGGATAACATCCCTTCGTTCCCCTCCTCGACAACCGCCACAACAACAGTCGAATCCTCCCCCTCGCTCTCCGACGTCGCCGCCGACCTCCACCACCGCGTCCAGTCCTTCCTCCAAGAATCACATCCCCCGGATTCCCTCCTCGCCGCCGTGCAACGACAGGCCCGCATCTCCCTCGACGTCATCGCAACAGCGCTATCCCGCTACAAGCTCTCCGAACTCTCCCTCTCCTACAACGGCGGCAAAGACTGTCTGGTCCTGCTCATCCTCTTCCTCGCCAGTCTCCACCCGCACCCACCTCCCGAGGAAGGCGGCCTCGCCTATATCCCCGCCATCTATGCCCTCCCACCCGATTCTTTCCCCGCCGTCGAGGAGTTCGTCCAGTGGTCCTCGCGCGCCTACCACCTCGCAATCGTGAGATTCACCACCGAGCCGCCCCGCACAACCCTCAAGTCAAGCTTCGAGCACTACCTCTCCCTCAACCCGTCCATCAAGGCCATCTTCGTCGGCACCCGGCGCACTGACCCGCACGGGGCCAATCTGACCCATTTCGATCCTACCGACAGCGGATGGCCTGATTTCATGCGCATTCACCCTGTCATTGACTGGCACTACGCGGAGATCTGGGCTTTCATTCGTCACTTGGGGCTTAAGTATTGCTCTCTCTATGACCAAGGTTACACTAGCCTAGGAGGCACTTCAGATACCCACCCGAATCCCAAGTTGCGTGTGGAACACGACGCCGATTCAGATCAAGGCGCTGCAGACGGTACACAATCTCAGCACTACCGACCAGCCTACGAGTTGACCGAGGACCAGGAGGAGAGGCTGGGACGCAGCAAATAGCGGCAATTCGACTGCCTGGCGCCATCTGTAGTCCATTCCGGCCCCGTTGTGTATAGCGAGACCTCAACAGCCCTTTCTCTATTTCGCAATCTCGTCTCTAACCCCTTCTTACCACCCCCTCCCCCACAGAACCCGGACGTTGAGCGGTTGAACTTTTGATTTATGTTCGTCGCAGAGCTATAGACTGTGCATATAACCTTGCATGATTTTCGAAGATGTTCCAATGGCATGGAACTTGACTAGGGCCGTTATCATTTTTAGACTAGGTCCTTGTCTGCTGAACGAGACGACAAGCGAGCCTGCACTTTTGGACAAATAAATTCAGGAATCCACTTTATATCTTTAGAAGGACTTTCCACTGCTTGATTCGCCGAATCGGTAACATATACAGCTCTATATAACACACTTTGTTGATCATACATCAATACATCAAACTGCGGCATGGAGAAATTAAAGCAAAGATAACACTTGCAACGCTCAAATATTAATCTGCAGTGACTGGAAGAACCGAAGGCACAAAGAGGAATGAGGAGAATCAAGAGCAAGGGAGGTGAAATGGGAGAAAGTTCTGCAATAGCCGACCTACTGCAGTGATCATACAATCGATAGGATATTACCTCTTGAAGTAAAATAATCCGGAAGATAAGAACTTCACGATGCTCGTAGTGACTGCCATGGCTGACGACGAGGGCGTTTTGGTGCCTATGAGCAGTGACGATACGGATAGTCTATAGCAATGTGATGGGTAAGACAAAGCTTGAAAAGTCAACTCAGAGAGCAGACCTTGGAGAAGTCATGAGGGCATCCTTGCAGGGGGAGATGGGAGACAAGGAATCAACGTCCATGTTCTCCTTCTGGGGACTGGAGCCTTGGGACCGAGCCTTGACGCACGGAGTGCTGGGCATAACTGTCTTGGAGGAGCTGGCAGAAGCATTGTTTGGAATTGCATGACGGTCATAAAGTCGTCCATGATATACCGGGGTGGTCTCCCAAGTTGCTGGACTGTTCCTGGTTGACCATGAGCTGAAAGGCATGTTGCTAGCCGGATTTTTCATCAACTGGTACCTGCTTATATCGTTAGACCGCTCATGGCATCTGTACCAGACAATCCTTCATACATACGACGGGGAGATGGACGTCGCAGGAGTCCAAGTGGAACCTACTCCGACCGGCGATGGATAGCTGACCTGGGAGTTAGGGCTGAGATGATTGGCGGTCTGCTGGAGACGGTGCAGAGAAGGCGATGGAGTCGAGCCCTGCACCACTTCAACGGAGTAGTTGTACTCTCCAGCACGGTATGCACGGCGCTCGTTGCTTTGCTGTTTCAACATCTTTTGTGCCTTCGTGTCTGCGAACCGGAGGAGCAATTTCACCCCATTTTTGGCGATGTTGTGGAATTCACCCAACACTTTCTCGGCGATTTCACGAGTCTCGAAACTGTTTAAAATGAAGTCAGATTGTGTCGCAGCGGGAGATAACCTAGCGAGTGAACACTTACCGAGCGAAACCGACCTCCTTGCTGACGCCAGTTTTCTCGTCACGGCTGATCTTTTCGGAGACAACACGGTACGGCTCGAAATGATGTCGAAGGTCCTGGACATATATTAGAAGGTCGTTTCGGATGAGGCCACCATACTTACAGCCTCAGTCCAAGTGATCGGAATGTTAGTGCAATAGACGTTGGTGGACGTCTTGTCCTCAAGATCCTTCAGGCGCGAATTGCGAGATTTCTGAACCATGTTAGCGTTGTGCGAATCTCTGAATGGCATTGATTCATAGTACTTGTGCAAAACTTGCTTGATATCCAAGATAAAAAAAGCCTCGGATGCAGTTCTCGCATGACTCGAAGTTGTAAAACTGGACAAAACCGAATCTGGAAGCGAAATTAGCGTGACAGGCCAACATATTAAAAGCTGCTTTGACATACCCTTTGCAAAGCCCAGTGTCCAGATCCACAATCGCCTTGCAACGATCAATCTTCCCAAAGCGGGCAGCATAGGAATGCAGCATTTCGTCCGTGGTCTGTGGCAAGAATCCTCTGATGTAGACGTTGGTAATACCTTCGCGGTTCTCGAGGCATTTTGCGAGCGTCACTTCCGAAGGGTTAGTCCACATGGCGGGAACGGCCCTTGGGATCGGAGGTTCCTGTTGAGTGATACCCTCCAGGTCCTGGAGCATGTAGCCATTGGGCGTCTTCATCACCTGGTAAGGGAGACATGGTTGCGGAAGGCCGTTGTAGTTCAGAAGTGGAATAGAGGAACCATCCATGGTGGAGACAGCAGGTCCAGGATAGAACTCACACTGGTTGCCAGGAGTTTCAGAGGTGGATTGGCCAGTTACCTTCTGGTTCTCGCTAGCGATCCAACTGTTTCGCTTCTGGCCAGCCAGATTCTGCAGGTTGTTGTCCGCCACGAAAGGAAATGGATATCCCTGCATTGTTGCTGGCCCCATAGGAAAGTTGGGACTGGCACTTGGATACATGGCTGGAAGATACGGAAGGTGGCCCAGCTGGGTTGGTCCAAGGACAGAAGTGGGATTGAAAGACGAAATAGGAGGAATGCCGTTCAGCATTGGCCCGCTGGGGAAGAGGACAAACTGGCCATTGTAGGGTGCACGATTGGCCCCGGACAGGTCCAAGTTTGGGGGCATCGTGAACGGCATGTTGCCCTTGAGGGTGCTGTACTTGGGACCGGAACGCTGGTTCTGAAAGTTCAGACCTGCTTGAAGAGGAGCAGAACCGTCATGATAACCCTCCGGCTGGCTGGCAAGACTGTTCTGCTGGTAGCCAGCGGCAAAGGAGGTACGAGAATCTTGAGCAAATTGGCCAGACTGGGTCTGAGGAGCTTGACCAGAATCGGCCGAAGCAGCATGCCGTTGACTTTGGGACTGCATGATGGCTGTTTCTAGAAAGGATCTTCAAGATGAGTTAGCAAATGCATAAATCTTCACCTTTCAAGTGTCACCATTCGGGCAAGAGTATTCAAATGCTCTGATGATACCTGTGACCTGGAGAATCGACGACTATATGAGATGCAGGGTCACGCACCTTGGACTTCGGGATTGGACGGCAATAGCAGTTGTTGTAGAACTTTCAAAAAGACAGGTGGATGATCAAACTAGGGTTATCAGCTAGCGAACGATGGAAGAGTGCTGTAGTTAACTCGCCTACACTTGCGATGAAGCGTCGTATATAAAGGCGATGAGGATTGAGTTCCTTGTGGTAACGAGAGCAAAGTAAAAGGGTAAACGAGAGCCGTTTCCTGACGATGAATAGAGCTGATAGAGGTAGAAGGATGACAGGTAACGAAAGGTTGCTAGCAGAGAGGATGAATTGCTGACGACGAGAATGGGATGAAGAAGAACCATGCGAGAGAATGCGGGATGAGAACAGGTGGAAGAGTCCTGTCGGGCAAGTATAGAGAACCAGAAAGAAGGGCGTGTTTACAGAAAGAACACCTTTTAAGACAAGCGACAAGAACCCAGAAAGAACGACCTATAGAACGTACAAATAAAGAAGGAGGCTATTGGGAGGTCAAAAAGATGACACTGACAATGTAGAAGGTAGCCACACTTCAAGAATAGGAAAGCGAAGGGGAAGAGAAGAAGAAATCATTCATTACTTGGTCGAGATCGAGGAGTGGGCAAACTGAGGCATCAATATGTAGCCTGAAGAACCACATCATGTACCTGTCCATGGCAAAAAGAGCGTCTGCACAACAACAATAGGAGTCCGAGGCAGCTATCTAGAGGAATCATACCAAGTGATGCAGGCAACAATGAATAGCAAAGATAGATTCTCCTTATGTCCATAATCGGACGGCCGAAGCCGGTAAGTCGATAGAGAAATAATACACCTGTCCTGTATAAGTCATACATATACTGCAAGACACTTAGCAGTAGTACTGAGAGCGTTCTAGCAAATACACAGGTATATGGGACAAGACCAACAGATCTATCTTTCTTAGAGCTCAATCTATAATGACAAGGTGACTTTGCGAGATGAGGCAAGATGAGAAGGCCCCAGGATGTTCAAAATTGAAAAGAGGAAAGCAAACGGCAGGGGGAATCAGAACAGAAGAGAGGTGCTGAACAGATCGTCTAGCGGATACAACCAGCTCTACTGCTCTGACTTGTCTTGCAGCCACTTGTACACGACAGAGAAGTCCTTGCCTCGGTACTCCTTCTCGACAGAATTGTATACCTCACGAGCAGTTTCAGCCAGGGCCAGGGGAGTGCCAGACTCCTTCGCGGCCGTGATTGCTAATCTGAGGTCCTTTTTCATCAAGCTGACTCCAAACCCGCCCTCATATCCACGGGATGCTGGAGCGGTCTCCACAACGCCTGGAACAGGATTGTTGACTTCCGTTGGCCAACAGCGGCCGGTAGAGGTATTTATCATGTCTGTGAGAGATTTGGGATCCAGACCCCAGCGAATTCCGAGATTCATGGCCTCAGCTGTTGCGATGTTGTTTATAGCCAAAATGTAGTTGTTGGCAAGCTTACCCGACACGCCTGCTCCGGGATGTCCCAGATGCCAGGCCTTCTTTCCCATAAGCATTAGAACCGCTCTGACTCGTTCGATGAGCTGGCCTGTTTGAGACGATGCTCCAAACATAAAACATAATGTACCTGCGCGAGCACCTACTACTCCTCCTGACATTGGAGCGTCGACGAAGCGCCCTGTGCGTGTCGCGTGGACCGCGTTTGCAATCTCCTTCGACGAGGCGGGGTCAATGGTTGATGTATCAATAAACAGGCGCTCTTCTTCCAGAGCGGGTAGGTCACCGTGCTTCATGATTGAATGGAAGACATCCTTGACGTGTTCTGGCTCCGGTAGACTGGTTATCACGACTGTCTGTAGAGGAGCTTAGTACCAGTATAACTAAGTGAGACACATATATAGGCGTTCCAAAACACCTCAAAGACATGGAGAACCACTAGAGCAGCTTCGCACCATGCAGCACAGCACCCTCGGCGTATCAGAAAACATGCAGTTTCTGATCTTTGGGCGGAAACGCAACTAGTAATGAATCAAGGACGTTTGCCTTACCGACTGCTCCGCAACTTCTCGAGCACTCTGGGCGACCTCAACCTTCATTGTGCCATCTGCAGCACCACTGCTTTTCGCGGCCTCCTTTGTCTCCTCCACAAACCTCATCGTCACATTCTCGTTCACATCACGCACAATCAGCGTGTCAGTAGCTGGAATTTTGGCACGTAGATTCTTGGCCATTAAGTAGCCTACAAATAAAGAGAAAGCAATTAGAGACATAGCTCCTTCGATTCAGAGAAGTGGTCAAAAGGGAATATGAAGGCGTTGATTCAGTGCTGTTCCAGGAAAAGTAATCACAGCACACCGTTCGAGCCGGACGGGCTAAGAACAGGAGTAATGAGACAAACAAACTAGGTTAACATACCCATTTGTCCTAAACCGATGAATCCCCATGTTGCATCACGTTGCAGAGTAGTAGAGAACGTCCTGACCTGAGACCGCTGGAGCTGTGGCACCGACGATAGTGAAGACAGCAACGATTTGTGGACAGAAAATCCCCGCATTCGAAGGGACACAGTGGATGTGAGACTCATTTTCAGATTTCGAATTTATTAGACGAATTGATCAATTTTACCAACTCTTCCCTGGCTGTACCAAGACGAGCGAAGAGAATGACAAGAGGAATAAGTGTGATGGGGTAATGTTAGATCTGTAGTTCAGGTAGTCAGGTAACGCATCGAGTTCACTGTTATGATACAATTTCCTGCAGAGGTATTCCCGAGGATCAATTAGAGAGAGCGGGTGAGCATTCTTCTCCGCTGCTTTCCGCGGCTTGCCATGAAGCGAGGGATAGAAGAGTGGAGTCATCACTAGAATTATAAGACCAGAGAATGCCCCTGCACCCAGAAGAGCAGCCTTGCCCATGTTTTGCACTGCGCTTCTCCACTGATCCGCTCGACGTTCCGTGCGGGGAAACCCACCGCAGAGCGCGGAGAACCGAGCATCACGTGCCAGGTGTACTACTACCTTAGGATTATGGCCAGAGGATGTCTCCTCCAAGCCGGAATGTGTTGTATGGAGTCTAGGTAGTCTAGGTACCCTTCGGCAGGAGAGTTTTATATATACAGCCAAGTGAAAATTCCCTTGAAAGATATGATAATATCTAGAGAAACATCATGTCCTTGTCAAAGGCACCAGGACCTCCTCTAGCCAGTATCGTTGCAAATGATGAACATATACATCTATAGTTGACACTCACCCAGTGCAATAGCATACACTAGTCTAGATACAAAATGGAATGAATTTATGAAACGTATAGATGAGATCAACGGACAGAATGGGTATTGTGACTATCAATGTCGTGTAACGCCCGCCTTATCAACCCAACATGAGAAACCACTTAACAATTGCAGATATATCTTTCCGAGCAAAGTCAAGAAAAAAGTGCATGGACTGAGATTGAGACACAGTTCGACAGCCGACAATCACTGTCCTGGCGATGTCGGATTGCTGGTCGGCCCTGTGAGGAATTCCGGTGGCACTTTCGGCACCCGGGGTGAGTTCGCCGTTTGAACGGCTGCACGATGTTGGGCCCTGATCAAGTCACGCTGCCGCTCTTTCTCCCGGTTTGCGGCCGCGCCGCCTGTAAGTCTTCTCATTCCGCTGCGAATCATCGACTCAAGGGATGAAGACCCGTCCGTTACACTTCGGCCCTGATTATTATGGAGGGTGGTCGGCGGTTTGTTGTTAGTCAGTCGCTCATCGAACTCGTAGAGCCCGTCTTCAAACTCATCATCGGACAAAAATGCCGATTCGCTGAACCCAAGAGGTGGAGTGGAAAACTGTACACTGGAGGAGCTTGGCGGATAAAGGTTGTTAGCTGGCGACGTGACGGAGCGAGCGTGTGTTGTCGGCCGTAACGTGTGGCCTGATACCTGGGGCATCAGCGTATTCGGTGAGTAGACGCCCACACTATCAAAGCGCTGATTCGGCGGTCGGGATTCAGCGAGGCCATTGTGAAACGACGAGGTTGATGCAGTTCGCGCGAGTGATTTGCGCAAAATGGGTGCGGTCTGTTGGTCATAAAGATGCGCGCTTGTGTCCGCATAAGCACCAGTAAAGCCTCGCAACGTTGCGTCTGGCATTACATCGAGTCCAGAGTTAATAGGCTCTGTCTCCTCGAAGAAGTCATCGAGACTGTCTAGTTTCTGCACAATGTCTCCCATGTTGCCGTCCATCTGCGTGTCCATTGATTTCATGGTGTCGGCACGCATAGGGAAGAATGACTCTTTGTATTCATCCGCGTGGAATTCGACTTCCGGTGTAACAGTCTCTTGCACTTCCATAGGGTCCACCTCAGCACAAGTGTAGAATACAGCGTGAACATTATGCCGAGTGACACTTGATTGAGTGGCAGGCATGGGTATGGACCACCCAGTAGGTTCGGGAATGCCATAAAGACTCTGAATCTTCTCATATTCTTTGCGGATGGCCCGCGAGGACGAGGATGAGGCCATACTCATCCGAATGTGATGGCGCTCCATAGGATTTCCGGAAACAGTCATGATGTGATCCATGACTTCTAAGGCTTGAGGGCAAAGATCGGTCTGTAGAAGTCGTAGGAGCGGAGAAATCAGGTCAGGTCCATGCGAGGTCACCTCGGGCCGCCGCATGTCAATCTCAGGTATCAACACGCAGAGAATCTTCATGATCTTAACGCGAAACCATTTAGCGGTATTTGTCAGGAGGCCCATCAGAAAAATCAGGCTCTGGACGTCCTGACGGGGGAAGTAGTAAGACCGCATCTCTGCAATGATGTGATTCAGAAAATCATTCTCTGTCTTATATTGTCCGTTGGCGAGCCCGAGAAGAGACGCTGCGAGACGCGGGCATCCTTCTCCCTCGGCAACGCGCGCCAACAACGTAGCACGTGCAAGAGTCTTTGGATCATCAACATCTGGGTCGAATTGGTGGAGGAAATGAGCCATATTTGCTAGGATTGTAAAGAGTAGTCTGTCGCTATCCCCAATAAGCGCGTTGTTTGGAAGACCACTTAGTCGATGCAGGACGTCCAAGGTGCGATTGAGGGATTCTGAGGATTTCAATCCTTTGTAGACCAGGTTTTGGAGCCCCTCAAAGCCGCCTTCCCACTTGGGTGGCTGACCTTGAATGAGCTCGGTGACCACTGCGGGGTCACTCATATCGACACTGTCCAGGAACTTTTCCAGCATTCCAATGCTCTCAATGAATTCCGTCTCGTGAATAGTATTGAGACAAGCGCAAGTAGTCCAGAATAACTGGGGATAACGCAGAAGGTCGGCGGGGCAAGAGAGCTAATGATGATTTTCAGAGTTGTTAGAATTTCCATGGAAAAGGTTTGGTAATCCGCCTCTTCATCCGCGATGGTATTTGAGAGCCGGGCCAACATGTCTGCAAGCATCCTCGGGTTCAGGGACGTTGATATGCAGCGGAATACTTGGAACGACCGACATGCCAGGTGTCGCACAGGGCATGAAGTAGCCCAGTTGAGTGCTTCCTTGGCCCAGAGATCACTGACACCTTCGTATGCGAAGCTGAAAAAATTGACGACCTGACGAGTAACAGTGGACATTGAGGGAGGTACTCTGCTGCCATCGTCCCCGTCCTCTTTGTCATTATTGTCTTCGTACTCCCAAACGACCTTCGGGTCACTCTTCCGTATAGATTCAACGAAGTCCTCGATGCCCTGTCGTGTAGCTGCGGGCGCATCATCGTCGATCTTGGCAGCAATTAACTCGTGGATGAGATGGACCAACATCTCTCTAGCTTGCTCTTGTACCGTGAGCATGTAGTGGTCCCATAAAATGAGCACGACGTGAAGCAGTTTGACAACGGCTTCTAATGGAAGAGTCACTGGCGCAACCATTAGATCTACGAGGAAAATAAGTGCCACCTGACCTAGCGAAAGGCCTGCTTGCTTATTGCCGACGGGAAGCACGGTGCCTAAATCCGCCACATAGGGTAAACTTTTGACATCCGGCGGAGCTGGGGTAATATCCTTCCTCTCTTGAACCATGTTCTTAGGTACGACCTGCATCAAGAAGAATTCAATGACCTTCGAGCCCGCAGGCGTCCCTGACAAGAAGACGACGACTTGCTTGGCATACTCGACGAAGTTTTGCTCTTTGCGTTCTAAGCAGAGACTGATGATGAAATCCAGAACCAGCTGTACGTTCCCACCATGGGGTCCTGTTGCCAGTGCCTGCCAGAGAGCTTGCACCTCGTTCGGTAATATGTTGCCACATCGGATAGTGATCTCGAACAAATTGGCCAGAAGCATGTAGGACCTAGCTGTAGGACCACCGTTAGGATCAATTTGCAGCTCCATGGTTTGAACCCATGGTAAAATTGCGGCCACCATATTTCGCTGGCTATCAGGGCCCACATTCCGGAAATGCAGTGAGAACTCTGAGAACAAGGTGAAAGCCAAATCAGAGTGCTGTTTCGCTAGCCGCCGGGATGTTTCGAATTGAGCGAGTTTGTATACGGCTGTGGTCTTATCAGAGATGCTGATGTCGAAGTCCTGAAGTCTGGAACTCTTTTGCTGACGTTCTTCTAATATGCGAAGAAGTTTGGCAGATTTCATTCGGATCTCGCGCTTCTGATTTCCCAGCGTGACGAGTACAGCGCCCAGGATTCTCCAGAAGCCAAGTGGATAGTCGGTATGTTCTATCAGCACTTGAGTTACTACCTCAAAGTAACTTTCCAGCGCTTTCGGCCTTTCCGCGACGTAACACATCTCGATTGCTCTCTCCAGTAGATAAGAATGCTCTTTGTTGTGGATTATCAAGTTCTTGAGCGCTCGTCTACCGATTGCGTGCCACTTATCGCTGATGGTGTTGAAAATGATATCAATCCAAGAGAGCATTCTCCCCACATCGAATTGAAGCACTGAGCCACTTTCCGTAGTGATACTGATTGGTCCAGCCTGTTAGAGATTAGCCACTGAATGAAGGATCACACTCGTTTTTCAACTACTCACACATAAGGAGGCCATTGCACTAAGAGCCGCTGCGCGAAGATTCTTCTTCTCGATCTCCATTGCAGCTGCTGTGTTGCGAAATTCCCCAGATTCAGATTGATGGGCCATGGCAAATTTTCGCATATTCTCTTCCCTTTGAGCAATCTGTGCTTGATTAGGCGAGTACCCGCACCAGTCTTCCATTAGCGAGAAAGCCGATTTTCGTGACTCGAAAGGGATCCAGTGAGACGGGTCTTTGGTCCGATTAATTCCCTCGAATAACTCTTCCATCAAGCCACAGTAATGGAACCGTAGGCGTTGGAATTCCCAGTCATTCTGCACTTCAGCGTCACTTAGGAAGATGCGCAGATCCTTTGTATAAGTGACGAGATTATTGACGATCCAGTCGTCATTGTAAACCTCGGGTTCTCGAAGGAAATGTGAAGTCAACTTGTATACGTGCGTGACCTCTGTCCTCAGGCGATCCGTTTTCCGATTTCGTCTGGGGCTGCTCGGGGACCGATGGTGAACACCAATGCGAATTTTCGCTTCCTCATTGCACGTCGTTACGGCGTATTGAAGAGACTCAAGAAAAGTGCGATAAAGATTCTTATTGATAGAGCCCAGTGCTATCACGATTGCATTTCGGATAGAGGATCGCTCAGCTGACAACAACGGTATCACAAAAGCAAAGAGGCTTCTGGCGGAGCTGATCTTATCTTGCGACTGCTGAGATCCCTTGGAGGATTTGCGCGCATGTTGGGCATTTGCGAGCTGACTTTGGGACTGTGCACCCACGCTGTTGAGTGTGGTACAAGCCATGACTAGATAGAGCTTCCATTGCTC